ACAACGACGACTACTACTGCCACTACTACTAGAACAACGCTCCGACACAACGTAAACGCGTGCCACAGAAATGCCGACTGTATCGTGTTTTTTACAATGTTTCAGACACTCCAGCGGCTGAAAACCTCGGTGGTGTCGGCATTTTCTGCGCTTGGAGTTCCACAGAATCGCAAGTGCCGGACGTATCGGTATTTACGCGGTTTTCTGTGCCTTCCAAGTGTCAAAGGACACGGGCTTGTTCAACCAGGACGGATCTTGAATCTGTAGGCTTATCCTTGCAAACATGCTGTAAATTACAGCGCATCGCTTTACAACTTTACACAGGAATTTATTATGCCTTTGTTTTCGCTGCTTCTACACACGTTTGGCAGGGTTTCGCTGTTTCCCAGCATGAGAGAGGAAGTTATGTTTGGTTGGTTTTGTCTGTTTCTACGCACTGGTCTCCGGGCAGATGTCACCTAAGGCGGTTTAGGAATTCGGGTTGAACGCTCTGGCATGTAAGTACACTGTGCTTATGTACATACTGCATGTCGATGTCCTTTAATGACGAAATTATCCCCCCCGCGTGCCCGGACCGACCCACCCCCTCCATACGTGCTTATGTGTATATTTCTATTCGATGGCGAAGACATGCGAAGGAAAACGACACCAAACAAAAAACGAATGAGGTCTTTCAAAGGAAGTTCAGTGACGGAACTATCCCCCCCACCCCCCACCCCCCCCTGCCCAGATGCAAGGAAGCGCCCGATACGCGGAGGTTTCCGGAAGTCGCAAAGACCAGGAATTGCAAACACACGAAACAAAAACAAAGGGAACAGCGTAAATTCGATATATATATATATATATATATATATTCAGCACCCGAAGGCAAGGACACGCCGCAAATACCGAGGATTCCGGACGTCGCAGCAACGGACAACTGCAGACGCACGAAACAACGAGGACACCGATGCAAAAGGCACTTCGAGTGCAGGAAACACTGCAGAAACCAAGGCAAACGGCATGTCGTTTTTGCGCGTTTGAGCTGTGTCGGCGCCAACAACAACACAACTACTAAAACAACAACTACTACTACAACAACAACTACTACAACAACAACAACAACAACTACTACTACTTCATCTTCTTCTTCTGCTACTACTACTACTACTACTACTACTACGACTACGACTACGACTACGACTACGACTACGACTACGACTACGACTACGACTACGACTACGACTACTGCTGCTACCACTACTACCACTACTACTACTACTACTACTACTACTACCACTACTACTACTACTACTACCACCACCACCAGATGTGTTTGTCGCTTGGCCGTTTAGCAGAATCATCTAAAACCGCGTTGGAGATGAGAAAGACAATAGGACGAGAAGTCGACTGCAGTGTTGTTGTGTAGATGTGCCCTTGCTTTAAACGAGACGGCTGGTAAACTTGGAGGCCTATCCACCCCTAAACCCTAAACCCTAAACCTAGACCCTAAACCCTAAACCCTAAACCCTAAACCTTCCGACTGCTCGCAGGTTCCTAAGTTCCTCCAAGCGTCAGGATCGAAGTCATCCAAGTTCGACACATCGGGCGTGGACCTGAGAGGATGTGCTGTCATGTGGGTGGTTGTCAAATTTAGGGTCCCTTTTTGGGTCCTTATTATAATACGGCACCCATTATGTAGGGTACCCCAAAAGCGACCCTAATTTTGACAACTACCCATGTGGCATACACAAGCAGAACTTGCAAGAGTTTGCGCAGGAAGTGTGCATACAGGGCAGCAAAGCATGAAACACCGCATGGAGGTTCACGCACCCAAAGTACATGCATATACATCTGCTGATCTTCACAAACTATATAATATGTAATTGCATATATGCCTGTACGAACCTATCTCTGCAATGAGGTGGAGGTTAAGGAGGGACTCCGAAAGCTAGAAGACGCAGTCCTGACCGAGGGAGGTACGGCGCGACGTCGCATGAGCATGCGGTTTCGGGATACGTTTTTGGGCAGATTCGTTGTTGAGTCTGATTTGGGTCTGGGTCACAGGGTGTTCCTTAATTTGGACAGCTTGAGGATAATGATGACTGAGGCTTACGTTGTGGACAGGAACTTTAATCTCTGAGCCAAACCCGTTGCTTTCATCGGCTCTACGAGACACCCAGATAAGTAAAGGACGGGATTTAGGGTTTAGGGTTTAGGTTGAAACTTTCACCTTTTATGAAGACAATGGACCACGAAGGATAGGGAACAACTGTTGCGTAAGGCGTAGTGCTTGGGCCAAACATCCAACTTCAACCGTAACGGCTCAATAACCACGGGCCTCAATGCATACTCGACTACAAGCGACGCTACAACGCAAACCTTTATAACTTACAACAACGGTCGGATCATACTATGCTTAAAACAAAAACCCTACAGGGTTTAGGGTTTAGGGTTTTGGGTTTAGGGTTTCTAAACCCCAAACCCTAAACCCTAAGGAACAATGATGGCCGGGAAAGAGGCGACATCGTGAAGTCGGGGAGCGGGCCGGAGCCCGGCTGTGTTTGAGCCCGAAGCCGCTAGTGAATCTGGGTCGTCGAAGGTCTATATACTGATGGTTTCGGGTGTAGGGATATTATTATCCCTAACCTCCCAGGTACCTACTATATAGGGTACTAGAGCCCCTAGGGCCCTATATAGTAGGTACCTGGGGGGTTGGGGTATACTAGTTAGAACAGGGTTCTATAGGGGTGCTAGGGGTTCAAGGGTTGCCATAGATGGGCGCCTTCCTGGAGTCATAGTATAATAGACCCCAAAACTTCCAGGCCCCGATAGAAGATGAAATTCAAAGCACATTATTTTCGGTCGGTTCAACAATCGTGTGAAGGGTTTAGGGTTCAGGGTTTAGGTTTAGGGTTGACTTGTCGATGTTAAAGACAAAGGCTTTTGCATCATTATTCGGACGGAGCCATGCGTGCGGAAGAGTGGAAGCCTGAATTGGTTGCTCCAGTCTGCAACTATGTCACACTATGACCACACTGGCATCAACATTCACGACCACAGTATTCACCATGCCAACGGCAGTCCTCCTGCTGTAGTTAGGTCTTCCGGCCAATTGCCTTGACCGCCGTTGACCCAGGGATTACATAGGGTTTGTATAGGGATACGGGTTTGGAATGAGGGTTCTTGCGTTGGCATGCGAACTCCGCAACAGCCTCTGAAACCCACCGGCCACTAAACGCACCCCAATATAGGAGCCTAAAGACTTACCAATACTATTCTGGGGGATCCTGATTATTGCTATAGTATAGTATACCCCAAAACCCTATTCTAATTACCTATTACGGCCCCTATATTCAACCCTAAACCCTGAACCCCTTTATAAACCCTAAACCCTAAACCCTGAACCCCTGAACCCCTTTATAAACCCTAAACCCTAAACCCTGAACCCCTGAACCCCTGAATAAACCCTAAACCCTAAACCCTGAACCCCTGAACCCCTGTATAAACCCTAAACCCCTAAACCCTAAACCCCTAAACCCTAAACCCCTGAACCCCCTTATAAACCCTANNCCCTGAACCCTAAACCCAAAACCGCCTTGAAGTTGCTGGCCTGTTGCTTGAGCTCGGCCCGGTGTCTCGCCAAGACGCGTGTGACACGAAAGACCCGCCTGCGATCTGAGGATGGCTTCGGTTTAGGATTTAGGGGTTTAGGGGTTTAGGGGTTTAGGGGTTTAGGGGTTTAGGGGTTTAGGGGTTTAGGGTTTAGGGTTTAGGGTTTAGGGTTTAGGGTTTAGGGTTTAGGGTGGGGCTTAGGGTT